GTTCCTTTTTCTCCACATCCTCTCCAGCATCTGTTGTCTCCAGATTTTTTAATGATCGCCATTCTAACTGGCGTGAGATGGTATCTCAATGTGGTTTTGATTTGCATCTCTCTGATGACCAGTGACGATGAGCATTTTTTCATAAGATTGTTGGCCTCATATATGTCTTCTTTCGAAAAATGTCTGTTCATATCCTTTGCCCACTTTTGAATGGGCTTGTTTGTGTTTTTTCTGTAAATATGTTTGAGTTCTTTGTAAATTCTGGATATCAGCCCTTGTCAGATGGGTAAACTGCAAAAATTTTTTCCCATTCTGTTGGTTGCCGATCCACTCTAGTGACTGTTTCTTTTGCCATGCAGAAGCTGTGGAGTTTCATTAGGTCCCATTTGTCTATTTTGGCTTTTGTTGCCAATGCTTTTGGTGTTTTGTTCATGAAGTCCTTGCCTACTCCTATGTCCTGGATAGTTTTGCCTAGATTTCTGTCTAGGGTTTTTATGGTGCCAGGTCTTATGTTTAAGTCTTTAATCCATCTGGAGTTAATTTTAGTGTAAGGTGTCAGGAAGGGGTCCAGTTTCTGCTTTCTGCACATGGCTAGCCAGTTTTCTCAACACCATTTGTTAAACAGGGAATCCTTTCCCCATTGCTTGTTTTTGTCAGGTTTATCAAAGATCGTATAGTTGTAGATATGTTGTGTTGCCTCCGGTGCCTCTGTTTTGTTCCATTGGTCTATATCTCTGTTTTGGTACCAGTACCATGCTGTTTTGATTACTGTAGCCTTGTAGTATAGTTTGAAATCCAGTAGTGTGATGCCCCCCGCTGTGTTCTTTTTGCTTAGAATTGACTTGGCTATGCAGGCTCTCTTTTGGTTCCATATGAAGGTCATGGTGGCTTTTTCCAGTTCTGTGAAGAAAGTCAATGGTAGCTTGATGGGGATAGCGTTGATTCTGTAAATTACTTTGGGTAGTATAGCCATTTTCACGATATTAATTCTTCCTAACCATGAACATGAAATGTTTCTTCATCTGTTTGTGTCCTCTCTGATTTCGATGAGCAGTGGTTTGTAGTTCTCCTTGAAGAGGTCCCTTACGTTCCTTGTGAGTTGTATTCCAAGGTATTTTATTCTTTTTGTAGCAATTGTGAATGGCAGTTTGTTCTTGATTTGGCTTTCTTTAAGTCTGTTATTGGTGTATAGGAATGCTTGTGATTTTTGCACATTGATTTTATATCCTGAGACTTTGCTGAAGTTGCTTATCAGTTTCAGGAGTTTTTTGGCTGAGGCGATGGGGTCTTCTAGGTATACTATCATGTCGTCTGCAAATAGAGACAATTTGGCTTCCACCTATCCTATTTGAATACCCTTTATTTCTTTTTCTTGCCTGATTGCTCTGGCTAGAACTTCCAGTACTATATCGAATAGGAGTGGTGAAAGAGGGCATCCTTGTCTAGGGCCGGATTTCAAAGGGAATGCTTCCAGTTTTTGCCCATTCAGTATGATATTGGCTGTTGATTTGTCATAAATAGCTTTTATTACTTTGAGATACGTTCCATCGATACCGAGTTTATTGAGGGTTTTTAACATAAAGGGCTGTTGAATTTTGTCAAATGCCTTCTCTGCATCAATTGAGATAATCATGTGGTTTTCGTCTTTGGTTCTGTTTATGTGGTGAATTACGTTGATAGACTTGCATATGTTGAACCAGCCTTGCATCCCCGGGATGAATCCTACTTGATCATGATGAATAAGTTTTTTGATTTGCTGTTGCAATCGGCTTGCCAATATTTTATTGAAGATTTTTGCATCTATGTTCATCATGGATATTGGCCTGAAGTTTTCTTTTCTTGTTGGGTCTCTGCCGGGTTTTGGTATCAGGATGATGTTGGTCTCGTAAAATGATTTGGGAAGGCTTCCCTCTTTTTGGATTGTTTGAAATAGTTTTAGAAGGAATGGTACCAGCTCCTCTTTTTGTGTCTGGTAGAATTCGGCTGTGAACCCGTCGGGGCCTGGGCTTTTTTTGAGTGGTAGGCTCTTAATTGCTGCCTTGACTTCTGACCTTGTTATTGGTCTATTCATAGTTTCAGCTTCCTCCTGGTTTAGGCTTGGGAGGACACAGGAGTCCAGGAATTTATCCATTTCTTCCAGGTTTACTAGTTTATGTGCATAGAGTTGTTTGTAATATTCTCTGATGATGGTTTGAATTTCTGTGGAATCTGTGGTGATTTCTCCTTTATCATTTTTTATTGCATCTATTTTGTTGTTCTCTCTTTTCTTTTTAATCAATCTGGCTAGTGGTCTGTCTATTTTGTTGATCTTTTCAAAAAACCAGCTCTTGGATTTATTGATTTTTTGAAGGGTTTTTCGTGTCTCCATCTCCTTCAGTTCAGCTCTGATCTTAGTTATTTCTTGTCTTTTGCTGGGTTTTGAGTTTTTTTGATCTTGCTCCTCTAGCTCTTTCAATTTTGACGATAGGGTGTCAATTTTGGATCTGTCCATTCTCCTCATATGGGCACTTATTGCTATATACTTTCCTCTAGAGACTGCTTTCAATGTGTCCCAGAGGTTCTGGCATGTTGTATCTTCGTTCTCATTGGTTTCGAAGAACTTCTTTATTTCTGTCTTCATTTCATTGTTTACCCAGTCAACATTCAAGAGCCAGTTGTTCAGTTTCCATGAAGCTGTGCGGTTCTGGATTTGTTTCTGTATTCTGAGTTCTAACTTGATTGCACTATGGTCTGAGAGGTTGTTTGTTATGATTTCAGTTGTTTTGCATTTGTTGAGCAGTGCTTTACTTCCAATTATGTGGTCAATTTTAGAGTAGGTGTGATGTGGTGCTGAGAAGAATGTATATTCTGTGGATTTGGGGTGGAGAGTTCTGTAAATGTCTATCAGGTTTGCTTGCTCCAGGTCTGAGTTCAAGCCCTGGATATCCTTGTTGATTTTCTGTCTGGTTGATCTGTCTAATATTGACAGTGGAGTGTTAAAGTCTCCCACTATTATTGTGTGGGAGTCTAAGTCTCTTTGTAAGTCATTAAGAACTTGCCTTATGTATCTGGGTGCTTCTGCATTGGGTCCATATATGTTCAGGATCGTTAGCTCTTCTTGTTGTATCGATCCTTTTACCATTATGTAATGGCCTTCTTTGTCTCTTTTGGTCTTTGTTGCTTTAAAGTCTATTTTATCAGAGATGAGAATTGCAACTCCTGCTTTCTTTTGCTCTCCATTTGCTTGGTAAATCTTCCTCCATCCCTTTATTTTGAGCCTTTGTGTATCCTTGCATGTGAGATGGGTTTTTTGGATATAGCACACTGATGGGTCTTGGCCATCTTTATGGTCGCTCTCAGCAGTACCTCCCACCCTAGGCCATGGCTGCTGAAAATGACAACCCTGGAATTTTAGAAGAGGAGGGCACTTTTCCTTTTATGAACCCTGTGGACAGTATGCTACTTGTGTGTGTGTGACTGTGTGTGTGTGTTGGGGGGGTGGGTCTTCCTGAAAGCATGTATGAAAATTGAATATCAAACATGTTATAAGGTAAGTCTAATTATACTAACTTAAACACAGTCTTTGAAGATGTATTTCTAACATGTCACTTCGGTTCTTTAACTTTGATTTTTTTCCGCCCTGCAATAGAACATGCTGCCACCTGGCTTAAGTCCAGTGAGTTTCTGAGTAAGGATGAAGATCTACAGCTTTTAGTATGTTCACTAATTTCCATCTTTCTCTCAATAATGTTAGTTTTATGAAACATATATTTTTTGCTAGTATCAACCATTCCATTTTCCCATTTTCTACTACTTTATATAAAACACTAATGGCAATATATAATAAAACAATCAAACTCTTTCCACAACACTACCCACTGACAGAGATGGCTGTGCTGGCCATAGTGGGTGGCTGATTGGCCCCAGGCAGCTTTCTACATCATGGCTCAAAATGTTCATCTGGATGCCAAGGAAAATTTAAGAATGTGACTTATAACACTTAGGTTAATGGCTGTAATATATAATATATGTTAAAAGGTTATATGGAAGTTGAATTTAGGAAAATAGAGAACCATGTGCATAAGAAGATGGAGAGGGTAGAAATAAATGGCCTATAAGTAACATCTAAACAACCATCACATAATGACTAAGTTGCATGCAAAATTTACTTTATTGTTTTGGATATGTGTTTCTGTTACTTAATTTTATCTAGGGGATGGGATGGGCCCAGAGATGTGAGTTGAAGCAATAGAGAAGAGTGAGAACTATCTCTCAGAGGCATTGCCACTTTAATTTATTTCCCAGAAGCATCATTTAAGTAGACAGGAAAAAGTAATGACAACTGGAAATATAAATAAGGGGGCTGATAGGGATGTGTTCACTCTCAGTGCAAGGAACACTATTGAGTGCTGTGTGTTCCAGGAACTTGGGGGATGCCGAGGTAGTTGAGATGCAGCCTTTACGTTTTAGGAGTTCCAGGTGCATTTTGCATAATAATGTGAGTACAAAAATAAAAAATGGGAACAATCCAAATTGAATAATGAGATTTATTTTATTTTTAATATATTTTAAAATTTGTAAAAATTCCAAACTTTTAGAAAATTTGCAAGTACAGAGCGGCATAAAAAGTTTTTTGTTTTTCTGACAATTTTACTGTAAATTGTTGACCTGATGTCTCATCACCTCTAAGTATTTTAGTGTGTATTTCCCTACAAGCATATTCTCCTACATAATCACAATGTAACCGTTGAAATAAAAAAATTAACACTGATACATTACCGATTTTTTTTAAGAAAGAGATGAGATCTCACTGTGTTGATGGACTGAAGTGCAATGCCATGATCATAGCTCACTGCACCCTCAAACTCCTGGGCTCAAGCAAATTCTCCTGCCTGAGCCTCCTGAGTCACTGGGACTATAGGTTCACACCAGCACATCCACCTAATACATTTTCTTTCTTTTCTTTTCTTTTCTTTTCTTTCTTTCTTTCTTTCTTTCTTTCTTTCTCTCTTTTCTTTTTCTCTTTCTTTTCTTTCTTTCTTTTATAGGTTCACACCACCACATCCACCTAATTCCTTCCTTCCTTCCTTCCTTCCTTCCTTCCTTCCTGCCTGCCTGCCTGCCTGCCTTCCTTCCTTCTTTCTTTCCTTTCTTCTGTCTTCTTTCTTTCTGAGATGGTTTCTGGCTACATTGCCTAGGCTTGTCTTGAACTCTTGACTTTAAGCAATCCTCCCACCATTACTTTCCAAAGCACTGGGACTCCAGCTGTGAGCCACTGCACCTGGCCCATTGCTAACTTTAATCCTCAGACCCCATTTAAGTTTTGCTGATCATCCCAATTATACACTTTATAACAAAAGGTTCCAGTTCAAAATCACACAGCACATTTAGTTGTCATTTTAGTTTCCTTCAGTCTAGAAGAAGTCCTCAGTTTTGTATTGACTTTTACAATATTGACACTTTTCAAAGGTTAGTTGTTTGGTAAAATGTCATTTAATTTGGGGTTGTCTGATATTTCTTCATGATTACACTCAGGTGATGCATCTTTGATAGGTGTGATGGTTAATGGTGGGTGTTAACTTGACTAGATTAAGGGATACCTAGATAGCTGGTAAAACATTATTTTTGTGTGTGTTTGTGTGAGGGAAAGATTTGTCCCCAATATGGGTGGGCACCAGACAATCATCTGGGGGCTCACCAGATAGAACAAAAAGGCAGAGGAAAGGTGAATTGAGCCTCTCTACTGGAGCTGGGACATCCTTATTCTCCTGCCCTTGGACGGCAGAACTCTAGGCTTTCCAGCCTTTGGACTCTGATTTGCACCAGTGGCTGACTGGGCTCTCAGGCCTTCAAACTCAGACTGAGAATTAGACCATCAGCTTCAACACTCTGTGCTGGGAAGCTCCCACACCTGGATGTTTTCCTTACTCTCTTTGAGCTTTGGCAGCCCACAGCAGATTGCCCCATTTTGGTGGACACTCTTCTTATTCAGCTAGGGTTTTAAAACCCCTGTGGGGCAGCCATCCTAGGGAATCTCTGCTCTATCTGAGCTCTGACATTCTGCTCTGGGCCACGGTGCCTCTCCCCTTTGGGGTCAAATGCTTCCCTTACTCTGCCTCAGTTCGTGGGTTTAGGACTGCACTATTTGAAGGAAAAGGAAGGAAAGCGAAAAGGGGAAGGAAAAAGAGGAAAAGAAGATAGATCTATTTTAAATTATGAAAATGGGAAGAAAAACAATATATATTTTGTATTTGTTTTCTATACTAATGAGAAATGGAGCCTCTAGGTCTCTTAAAAGACTAAAATATTAAGCATGTTTTTAAACTTTACATTTTTTTTTTCCTTAGGGGACTAATGTAATGCTTAATAATTAGGCTCAGATTCCTTGTTTGTATACTTATTTGGGGCCAGAAGGGAAGTATATTTAATTATACAATCTTCCCTTTTTTTTTAATATGTCCAAAAGCATTGGAAAATATTGGGAATTAACAATTATTGGTGAAGAGACTAGACTGTAAAGCTATTGTATTTTAAAATAAAGGTCAGCATTGCTCTTTAATTATTTCATTCAATTTTGCCCCAAAGGCATTTATCCTTGTTGTTATCCAATGAATTCCACTGTAAACCCTATTACTTTAATCCAGATAAAGTCACAAGTTATTTCTGACTCCATTTTGTGGTTCTATGGAGGTAATTACTACCAAGTGATCAGTGATTGAGTCTGAAAAAATGTATTTAATTATTATTAATTGAATAACCACTGAATTAATAAAACTGTCTTGGGACATTATATTGGAAATTAATTGAATATAATATGTCGAGCTTCAAGAAGTTATGCCCTGAGGGAGATAATGGAGGAGAAACAATCTTTTCCATGTAGGTGAAAGACACTTAATAAATGCTCATTAAATTAAATGTTTTCCTAACATTTGGAAGCTGGGGTCACTCATGGGAGATAAATGACAATTTCATTTATCTTTAGTTAGATAAATGAAATTCTTAAGTTAGAAAGTTCTTAATTTATAATTCTTGTCATGCAAATTCTTAAGTTAGAAAATCCAGTGACTTGTCAGATTTTAAATATCTAAATAGTAAGCTGGATTTAAAATAATCAATCTATTAGTTGATTATTTACTTTCTTATGTAAAATATAGTAATGAGGTCAGGTTAAATTAAGGTAAATAATGTAATGTTAACAGCTTAAAAATCTCCACAATACCATCCCTTTCTTTTTCTTTTAAAATGTAAGGTGTCAAGTAATTTCTTAAATAATAATATAGAATTATATATAGCTTTTCTGTCTCTGACTAGCTTGACGTTGCATTGTTCCATGATTTCAGCTTATAATTCTTACTAACCATAATGTGGAAGAATTGCAGGGCCTTAATGCAAGCCATGATTCTGGAATTACCTCATAAATTTACAAAAAAAAAAAAAAAAAAAAAAAGAAGTGGATGTTTTGCGCTTGGTAGTGTAAAGAAAGGGTTTGAAGAAGTTGTCACAGTAAGTACTTCTGCAGAATTCACAGAATCCAGGAAGTTAAAATCTCCCACTGAAAGAAGAGATGACCGTAATAGCCAACAATACATTTATTGATTCAGCATGACCTTAAAAATGCATTTCACTTCTTCGCTAAATGCAAGTGTGTATTTGTTAAAAACATTAAACAAAGTCTGCATATAGCTTCAAGGATTCAATAATAGTAAAGAGCATCAAATAACAGAGTCAAAAGAAACAAACTGAAGGAAACTGTGAGCAAAGATGAAAAGAGGAAGGTCTCTGGAAACAGTCAAGAAGAAAGATGACTGACCATTGAATGAGATTCCCATTCAAGTTCTGAGAAGACAGAAAAGCAATAAAGTGATGAGTCAATAGGAAAAGTACTTTGCTAAGAGGCAAGAACAACACATTTGCTTTCAGAAGTGAATAATCCTGAGACTTGAAGAATATATTTTGATTTCTATCCTTCATTTATTTTTGTTCAAATTTTTGTGTCTGATAACAGCTTAGAGGACTTTGGGAACTACTGCTTTATGTCCATATTTTAAGGCAGTCATTTACAACACCCCTTTAAGTCCCTGTCCTCCTTCCATTCCCCACCCAACCTCTGGACCATTTCCTAACAGACTCCATTGTGAAATTATTTGAACTAAAAAAAGCTTGCCTGAGGAAACAGCATTCTTTTAAATTTATGGAGCTTAAGGATCTTAAACAGGTAATTTTTCGAAGCAGTAAACTTGGTTAGGAGGGAAGAAAGGGCTGCCTTCCGGAAGGCTAGTTTGAGTTAAATTCAGATTCAGAAAAATAACACTTTTGGGCTCATTTGCTAACAATTCAACAGCAGTTTAGGAGATTTAAAAAGGAATGGATAGATATTCAGACCACTGACTACTCATTCTGAACCCAGAAGTCCAGAAAGTTTCTGAGGTTTTCTAGATTGCATCATGTATAATATCAAATCCTCATACATAACAAAACCCAAACCATCTGACTATAAAGTCTATGGTTCTCAATAATGTTAAGAAGTCTTATTCTACCTGTGGGAATCAAGATTATTGTCCCTACTTCTCTTTATCCTATAATAAAATGATATGTTCTTGTCCTTGGCCCTGGGAATTTGAAGTGCATTCTACTGTGGCAAGATTGTATTTTGCATCCTTCTAATGTAGGCCTGGCCATCTTACCTCTTTGGGCCAATGGAATGTGGGTGGAGTTGACAGTGTGTTTGTTCTAAGCCAAGGTCTTCAGGGGCATTGCATGTCCTGCACCCGCCTCCCTTTCATCACCATGAGAAAAAAATGCTATAGGAAGGTGCAGCCACTTCAGCCTGGGCCTAGAAAGGAGACACGAGGAGCATACCTGAATCCAACTAAAAGTCTCGGTTCAGCCTGGCCCTCCTATGTCCAGATGCCTTGCAGACCTGTGTGGAGATATGTCAATGTTGGTTGTATAAGTCACTAATATGCTGCTTCACAGGCTTAGATTTCAAAATTTACTTAGTATAAATCCTAAAGATCAAATGACATTACAAATGGCATCATTGTCCTGACGTACTCCAAATGTTCTTTCAGAATAAACTGCCTCAGAGCTTCCAGATAAAAAATGTAAGTCCTAGATTAAGTTATTTTTAATGTCACTTAAAATATCTCACCTCATTTTTTTCACTATGATGAATATATGAGCCATTACTGGACTGTCAAATTAAAAATAGCAAACCAATTTGCATGAAAAAATAGCCTACCATAGAGCCATTGTAAAGAAAAACCCAGAACTTTGGGACAACCCAATTCTTTGCCTTCTGTATACCTGCACCTGAGCAGCTGAATGTGGAGGGAGGAAACTGGTAGAGAAAATCCACTCTGCTGGCTGGTGTACGTAAGATTTATTTTAACACAGTCAGTCCCACCCCACTTTTATGGTAAGTTACTTTGTTAGTTTGTGCTCGCATTGTTATAAAGAAACACTGGAGACTGAGTAATTTATGAGAAAAGAGGTTTAATTGGCTCATGGTTCTGCAGACTGTACAAGAAGCATGGCAGCATCTGCTTCTGGGGAGGCTTCAGGGAGCTTTTACTCATGGTGGGAGGCAAAGTGGGAGCAGGCACCTCCCAGGGCAAAAGCAGGAGCAAGAGAGTGAAGGAGGGAGTGCTGTACACTTTTAAATGACCAGATCTCATGAGAACTCACTCACTATGGTGAGGACAATGGTATCAAGAGGGATGGTGCTAAACCAGTCATTAGAAATCCGCCCCCATGCTCCAATTACCCGCCACCATGCCCCACCTCCAACACTGGGGATTAGATTTCAATATGAAATTTGGACAGGGACACACATTCAAACTATATCAGTTATCTTTTTCTTTCACCAAGAGGGACCATTTCACATATTCTCCTCTCCCCTCAGACCTCCAACACCTTCTCCTCTGGGCCTCACTCTTAGCTGATGATCTTGCTTCTTAGTTTACTGAGAAAATAGAGGCAATCAGGAGAGGTTTACCTTATCTTCTACCTCCAACTCCATCTGGCTGTGTATCTAGATGGTGTTGTCATTCAAATGGTCCCAGTCCCTGGGCCTATATGGGACAGCCTCTCGGCACTGAATCTTTGAAGCCCATCCTGGGCTGCCTCCTTGAGAACTTCCCTTCTGCAATCGTGCTCTCTCCTTTCTGCAGCATCAATTTTCACCTCTTTGAGGGATCATTCCCATCAGCATACAATGTATGGTGTCTCTCCCAAGTTCTTCCCAAGTTATTGCTGTTCTTTATCACCAAACCAGTAAAATAGCCTGTGTTTGCTGTTTCCATGTCTTCACCTTCCATTTTCTCTCTAACTCATTCCAGTTAGGATGTCATCCTCATGGCTTCAAGAAGCAATTCTCATCAGGGTCACTAGAGACCTCTATGCTGCCAAATATCTTGGGTAATACTCCTTTTTCTTTGAAATACTCTCTTCACTTAATTTCCCATTCATCATCCTCTGCCAGTTTCTTCCTTTTATTGGAGTCATCTTCTGCATTTCCTCTGCTTGCTGTATCTGATTTCCTGACCTTCTAAATGTTGGAGTGCTATAGAGACAATGTCCTTGACTCTCTTTGGCTATCTATCATACCCTTTTCTAGGTTATTTTAACCAGCCCTAAGGTATCTATTTTCAGACAAATCCCAAATTTATATCTCCTCTAAGCTCCAAACTCACCTTTCCATTTGTATGTCAAATAAACATCTCAAACCAGACATGTTCAAAACCAAACTCTTACCTTCCATACCTGCTTCTTCCTCACTTTTTCCAAACTCAGTAATGGTAACTGCATTTGACCAGTAGCTCAGGCCAAAATCTAGGTGTCATGCTGATATTGTTCTTTCCTTCTCTCCCCATGTGAATCAGCAAAACCCACTGGCTCTATCGTCAAACTATCTGAAATCTGACGAGTTCTCACTCTTCACACCTGTGCCCTTTTGGCTTCCTTTTGGATTCTGTCATGATTGGCACCAGCACAGATGGGAACAGGGAAAGGCCAGGCATTTCTTCCCCCACTCCCTCTTTGATTCAGGCCTGCATCTGTAGAAGTCGCCACATTCCTGCAACTCCAGATGACCCTTGTCCATGGCCCCAGCTGGCACTGGGCTCTCCTGTTCCATTCTGTCTTTGCTCCTTCAGCTCTTGGAATAGTACTGCCTTTTCTCTTTTGCTTTGCATCCCATTTATGCCTCTGTAAACTTCAAATGAAATCTCTTCATTTGTTATATCTGAGGGTGAAGCTCTTTTCTGCTGGGACCCTGATAGACACACTGCTCTATCTAAAATATCATTCCTCTTCACTCCTCCTTCTCCCTTTAACTATTTTTTCTTAGTATTTACTATTAACTAAAATGTTTTATCTGTTGTTTTGTCTTTGCTTTTCGTTTTTTTGTCCTCCCTCTCCTCTTCCTCAAAAGCTATGCTTTCTGAGGGCTTTTATTTTTATTTCCACATCTTCATCCCTGGCTCCTAGAAGAACACCTGGTAGAGTTTCATGTAAATATGTTTCTGTGAAAGTTGGTTATGAAGTGTCATGCAATCTGGTGTCATTACATTAAGGGGAAATGAAAAAGTGAGTTGAATATTATGGCATGGTTATGTCTTTTTAAAAAAACCTCCCTATCCATATATAATATTGAGTAGTATGAAAGAAGCATATACCCCCCAAATATTAACAGGGGTTACTTTCCTGGGAGTGGATGGTAGAATTCAGTGGATTCAGTTTTCTCCTTTGTGCATATGTGCACAATTTGATTTTGTAGGAGAAATAAGACCATTGGAAACCTCTCTGAAGCTTTTGGAAAAATTAGAAAAACTCTTCTCCCAACCCTAGTGGAGGCACAGACCTGCTGGGACTAGGAAAGTGGATTTTATTTCTCAGTGGTCACCATTTTGAAAACACCACTGTACAACTTTATGTGTTGGCTTTGTTTTTTTTTTTTAATATCAGAAAAACATCATTTATATATGTCTTTCCCCTCAATATATTTTCAAACCCACCTTTTATGTTTTTTCAAAAATGTTTTGACATTACATAACGAAACCAAAATTTATTAATAGCTCCTTACTACTTTTTCTTGACAAAACAGAGTATACTCATGAGCAAGAAAGAAAACGAACAACAAACAAAAAGCTTATAAAATGAAGTAGGAAACTCAATGTTAACAGCTTAACACAGAAAGCCATTACAACAATGAACAAAAATCGCAAGTTAATGATGAAGTAACGTAGAAACAAATTTACAAACTACTAAAAACCTGGAATTGCCAATTGTTCAGAAATTCCACAGATGGATCATGAGTGGTAAGTAGCAGAAGAGTTTTGGGTACCCTCTACAGGCAAAGCTAACATTGCCAGCTGATCTGATTTTAAATTTTATCTCAGATATTTGACAGATCCCACTGAATTTTGATGACTTGACTTCTGGTCATGTACCCAACTAGATGTTTTGGAAAAAGTGAGTCCAAGGGAACTTGAATGCAGAGATGCTCAACTAGACCCAAGAAATTTTCATGTCTGGAGAGCAGAATTAAATGTCATGGAATCTGGTATCATTACATAATATAGAGAAATAAGACTTTTGCATTTCCATCTGGTGCAGCTTGGTAAACCCCAGAGGTGGCCTCTCCAGGTCAGAGTTGAGACACAAGGTTGGTGTCTCCTGGATGGTGTGGGAAATGCATGCCTTGTTGCTTGAACTGTATCCATCATGACACTGGCAAAGTAGACCAGAGAACTGGAAAACTTGGGTTGATCCTGGCTAATCATGCCTGCCACAGGGACAACGAGTTTCCAACATGGCTGTGAAGATCTGGTCCACATAACCAATGATAGATGGTGATGTAATAGTGATGGCCTGCCTGAGTTTCTTCTAGCTTGCCCTGCCACCTGGTCATGAGCTTTGTACTCTCTCCTGTTTTCTTCATCTTGTACCTGCTTTTCCCCCCAAAAAAAGAGCCACACTAGTTATAAAGGATAAATGTTTTGTAAAAAGTGAGTTCATAGGAATGCCAATGCACCAGTACCCAGCTGGGCCACAGGCTGCCTGCGGATCAGTTGTCCCACTGGTTTCAGAGTGGCTGATGTCCTTTTCCAGATTTTTAATGATCACAGTAAATGCTTTACAGATGGCATTAATAGATCTGGCCAGAACAATGATTCTCTTAGGACAGTTGCCTTCTGAGATGTTGATATGTACATTATCCTTCCCATGCAGCTCCTTAACTACTGTTACTTTCCACTCTGCCAGGGTTATGCCAACTCCCTTTCCATGTAATCTGCTTCAGTCATCCTGGAGGCTGTGGCAAGCAGTATTTGGGGATTTGAATACTTGTTAAGTGGTTAAGTGTTTGGTCACTGGTGGGAGTGACCAAACACTTTTCCTCTCAGTCATCCTGGGGCCACAAAGCAAGCCTGCTTTAATAAATAACATGTAAGTGGAAGATGTTTTGTATTCCTTCCAGGTGAAAGGGTTTAAGAGTGGCATATGATTTTCCATGCTCTTTTCTCTGGACATGGTGATTGTGGAAGGATATTTTGATGCAGATGTCCATACAACTGAAGTATGCAGAGATACCAAGACCTCATGAAGGACAGCTTCATTGAACCTCACCTGCCTCAGCACTCTATGAGTGACAAGTAAACTGTGTGTAACACCACAAAGATTTTGGGATTGTTTGTTACCACAGCATAAATTAGCCTATCTTGACCAATTGATTCACTTGTAAATATTACATAATTGTAGTACTTATACAGTTTCAGGCATCTTGGCAATAAATATTCATTAATGGATAGAATTAAGAATAAATTTAACATTCACTTAACAACTGACTATAAATTATGGAAGTAGATTGACTAGAACAGTTCAGTTCAGTTTGATTTATTGACTGATACTGTGATAGATACTGAGAATACAAAGATAAATTAGTTTTTAACCTGGAAGATTTTGGTTGGAAGATAAAATTGGAAAGATTGGTTACTGTCTGGGTATGTAGGACATTGAATTATAGACTGAGCCATTTTACTTCATCTTGTAGACAGTGGGAGGGAAAAGTAGGTATCAATGGATTTTGAGCAAGGGAGAAGTACTATTAAATCGACATTTTAGAAAAATTAATCTGCGATGGTGAAGGAAATACAAACATACACATTGAGAGGCTATTTCAGTAATCTAGGTGTGAGAAGATAAGGGTCCAGGCTGGGGTGTTGGTGATTGAAATGAGAAGGCATACTCAGAAATGAGAGAAATTAGAAAGTAAAAACAGGGCATTGGATATGTGAGGGGTCATGAGGTGAGAAGGAAGAATGATTAATGAATGACTCTTAGATTCTCTGTGACACCACTGGGTGAAGTTTGGAGAAGGTAAGAAGATGATGAGATCTTTTTGTTGTGTGTTCAACTTGAGGAATGACAGCTCATTCATGCAGAAATGTCCTTAACGGTAGTTTGTGAAGCAGGATTGGATGGAGCTTGGTAGAGAAGTTGAAGCCAAAGCTAGAAGATTATGGTATATTGATCATACTGGAAACAGTAAGGGTACAACTATCTAAAAGGGAGCTTGTAAGAGAGAAAAGGGTAGTAGGGCTTTGAAAGAAATCCTCATTTAGGGACATGAGACTGGAAAGGAATTAGCAAAGGACACAGGGGAGTAATCAGTAGGATAGGTAATTTTTACTGAGAATTTACTATACTAGGAATTTCACATGCATTTTATTATCTAATTTTCACAGCCTCCCCTAGGAGGAAGAGTTATCCAATTTAACATGTGAACAAACTGAGACTGATAGGAGTTTAAGAATTTTCACTGAGGTCAAATAGCGACTACATGATGATGCCAGGTCTGCTTGAAAACAAAATCTGTGTCCTTAACCATTGTGAAAACTCAAATGATCTAAGTTTTACATGAACCAGCTTGTTATTGAGAAGGGGCTAGCCAACAGGGTCATATGCGATAAATTCAAGAGAAATTATGTTTGAGAACAGACCATTGATTTGATGAACAGGAAGTGATGGTTATGAGTGGAAGTGATAGTAGTGAGCAAGAGCCTCACCACAGGGGATGAGGTAAAGGCATGAGTGGGTGGTGCTGAAGGAAGGAATTGGTAGAGACAACAAATCAAGAAATGTCAAGGGAAAGGAACAAGAGGAAGAGATACATCCTGGGGCATCTCAGGGTTAATTTCACAGGTATATTTATTTCCAAGACAGAGACACCATTTACAGATAAGATGAAAGGGCCCAATGGAGCCAGAGAATGGAGATACCACAAAGATGGTACCAGTGGAGTTGGTAATTTTTGGGGGAGGATAGAAAGACTGGGATCTAAAGTCCAGGGGAAGGGATCAGCTCTGGAGGGAGAAGAGCAACTATTTGCTTCAGGACCAGAGGGGAAGACCAGCTGTATCTTAAACTAGAGATACTCCGGCATCTCTTGAATTTACTGGATTTGGGGAAGTTCCCTTCACCACATTGATACCAGTGAAAGCCAATTTTAATTTAGATTAGCTCAGAATTAAATTCCCCATTTATTAAAATACCTATGTGAAAATGTGAGCTTGTTCTTTAAACTTATAGATAAAAATAAGTTTTGTAAGAAAAAAATTGTAGTTCTTTCAAGTTACATCACTGAGTCCTTAGTACTTTGTTTTAGAAAACCTCTTCACCTGCTGAGCTCATTTCCAGTGTCTGGTTTGAGTTCTGACCCTAAAACTGCTGTTTAATAAAATAAATACTTTTTGCTCTGGAAGCTTGAAGTCATTTTTTCTTTTCTTTTTCTTTCTTTTTTTTTTTTTTTTGAGAGTCTTGCTCTGTTGCCCAGGCTGGAGTGCAGTGGTGTGATCCTGGCTCACTGCACTATTCACCTCCTGGGTTCAAGCAGTTCTCCTGCCTCAGCGGAAGAGTAGTTGGCACTACAGATGTGTGCCACCACACCAGCTAATTTTTGTGTTTTTTTAGTAGAGATGAGGTTTCGTCATGTTGGCCAGGTTGGCCTTGAGCTCCTGATATCAGGTGATCCACCCGCCTTGGCCTCCCAGAGTGCTGGGATTATAGGCATGAGCCACCACACCTGGCCTGGCAGCTTTAAGTCTTTAATATACACATCTGAATTATTTTTATAATAACTTATTGGTTTCTTATATAAATTCCAAGGCATATCTAATAGTCTGTCATTGCAATCTGAATCAGCTTTTTTTTCTAAGCAAACAAAATTAAAAGGGCTTTAGGGTTAATTACATGATTAAACATTTAGCGACTCCCAAAAACTTAGTGAAATGAAATGTGTAGAAATTGTTGACTCAGTATTCTAAATAAGTCTACTCTTCAGGAATGTCCATGGCTTTGGCAGGATTCAAGGAACATGAAGATTAGGGGAAATTTTTAAATGAGATTTATAAAGGAACAAGAACACAATGATATAAAACATAAGAAAGGAAAAAAAATAAGAAATCTAGTATTTTTGTCAGAAGCAAGTTTTCTCATGAAAATAAAAAATATATAATTTAATTTGCATTTTTGGGGGGTCAACTCTGGTTTATTTTGTTGGTTTTGTTTATTTATGTGCTTGAAAGATTTGGCTGCTGGGTCCTTGTAAGTCTTGGGGAACTCTGAGCTTCATTCCTCTTGACTTGCCAAGTGGTGTAGGGAAAGTTGCTTCATCTTTTATATTTATATTTTTGAAAGTATTTGTGAGTTATATGAAAAGCTGAACAGTACTTCACATTATAGAACAGCTGGAGTAAACTGAGTGGGGCCGAGGAGACAGATTGTGCCACTCACTTTCCATGGGACTCTGTTGGGCTCACTGGGTAGTTAGTTCTGTGGTTCAGGGTTGGCTTCACCAGCTTCACTTGTGGCTTTGGGACACTACTTTTTCTCCACACTCTCTTCCTCCCCCAGCTTCTTTGCTGACTCCTCTTCCTTGATCCAGCTCTGAAATGCAAAGATTCTCTGAAGGTCTATCTCCATACCCTTCTCTTCTATCATTACCCATGTGCTAGTCCAATCTTTTTCACTCCCAACGTTCCTGCCATGTTTCCACATACCAGTCAGACGTTTGTGCCTGTGTGCCCCATAGGTACTTTAAACCCAACACCTCCAAAATTTAGCATGTCTTCCAGTTCCTTTATCAGAATGCTCCCCTTTCTGGACTCTGTGTTGATTAAGAGCATTGCTGGCCGGGTGCAGTGGCTCACGCCTGTAATCCCAGCACTTTGGGAGGCCGAGGCGGGTAGATCACGAGGTCAGGAGTTGGAGTCCAGTCTGGCCAACATAGTGAAACTGCGTCTCTACTAAAAATACAAAAATGTAGCCAGGTATAGTGGTGTGCGCCTGTAATCCCAGCTACTGGAGAGGTTGAGGCAAGAGAATCACGTGAACTCGAGAGGCGGAGGTTGCAGTGAGCTGAGAAAATGCCACTGCACTCCAGCCCGAGCGATATTGAGAGACTACGTCTCAAAATGCAAAACAAAACAAAAAGCATTGCCTTCTCATAGTCAAGAAAACTAGAAATGTTTTCATTTTCTTTGCCTCTCACATCTGATCAACTGTGTGTTGTTAATACTGTCTCAAATGATTTAATCTCCTTCATTTCCCCATCTTATAAGTAGCCACATCTGTTTATACGATCTCTAAAATGTTCCCAGTATCTCTCTCTTGTCCTCCTATCTTCTGCCCTTGTTCTGACCTCATCACCTATTGTATCAGCCAGCTATTCTAGCCTTCTTGCCTCCTTCTCTGTTCATTCCATCCTGCTCACAGCTGCCAGAGTTGTTTTCTAAAATACTAATTTAATTATAGCAATCTTTTGCTGAAAAACCAGTGGCTTCTGCAGTAGAGTCTGGCTGTAGCCTCATTTTCTGACTACACTGCTTCTGCACCCCTTTCCACTCCCGCATGTAATCCATGTCTGCTCTATCCTGCACATCAAGCACACCATAAGCTTTCATGGCCCCATGTTTTTTTGTCCTTCTGTAATTTCTTACCTGTCTTATCTACTGGGTGAAATTACAGCAATCCCTCAAGATCCAGCTCTATTGAAAAGCTATAATAGACTATGTTTAGACTATAGTAGGACTCCAATAAATGTTTTTTGGATAAATCAGTCAAAAAGAAAATACAAAAGCCTTATGGTACCAGTAAAGGATGAGGATTATTTTGTTAGCTGAGAAATATAACTGTGTCAAGTCTATACTGTCCAAGATCCCTACCTGCCGTTGGCATGGTCTGCCTCAGACAATCCTTCCTTAGATCCCTTTATATGTATATATGAATATATATACATGAATATATATGAATATATATACATATATATACATACGTATATATTTTTTGTTTGCTCAATATATATTTACATATATATGTATATATATTTGAGCAAACAAAATTAGAAGGCTCAAATATATATATATTATATAATTAGAAGGGCTTTAGGATTAATTACATGATTAAATATTTAGTGACTCCCAAAAACTTGGTAAAATGAAATGTGTAGAAATTGTTGACTCGGTATTCTAAATGAGTCTACTCTTCAGGAATTGTCCATGGCTTTGGCAGGATTCAAGGAACATGAAGATTAGGGGGATTTTTTTTATGAGATTGAAAAAGGAACAAGAACACAATGATATAAAACATAAAAGAATCTAGTATTTTTGTCAGAAGAAAGTTTTCTCATGAAAATCGAAAAATGTAATTTAATTTGCATGTTTTTTGTCAATTCTATTTTGTTGGTTTTGTTTATTTTGTGCTAAATAAATGTTTTTAGTTTTACTAAAAATTATACTATAATGAACATATTTATATTTTTTGGAATGCTTTAACAAGTATATCAAGTATATCTATAGTGTAGGTTTTTTTTTTTGAGACAGAGTCTCATTCTTTCACCCAGGCTGGAATGCAGTGTCATGATCTTGGCTCACTGCAACCTCTGCCTCTTGGGTTCAAGTGATTCTTCTGCCTCAGCCTCCTGAGTGGATGGGATTACAGGCATGCACCCCCTTGCCTAGCCAATTTTTGTATTTTTAGTAGAGACGGGGTCTTGCAATGGTGGCCAGGATAGTCCCAAACTCCGGACCACAAGTGATCTGCCTGCCTTGGCCTCCTAGAATGCTGGGATTACAGGCATGAGCCACCTTACCTGGTATATACACATTCCTTTTAAATTTAGAAAGCTAGCCCTTTGTCTACAATATGAGTTGTAAACAATATTACAAGTTTACCAATTGTCTTTGATTTTGTTCATTATTTTTTATTGGATAGAAATTTTTAAATCTTTGCAGCTAAATTTATCAATATTCTTCATGCTTCTACATTTTATGTCATTCTTTAAAAAGTCTTCTTCATTCTAAGATTATGAATAAATATGCACAGTTTTCTTTAGGCATTATTATAGTTTCTTTTTCAGAGTTTATATCTTTGATCTGTATGAAATTTACTGTGGTATAAGGAGTGAGATGAAATTTGTCTTAATTTTTTCCCCAAGTTGTTACTAGTTATACCAAATCCACTTATTGAATATGCTTTTCTTCACTAGTTTGAAATGTAGCTTTTATATAAAATTTTATTGCATAGTTATGTGTATTTCTGAACTCTGTACAATTTAATTAGTGAAAACTTGTGATGTCCCAAACCAATAGTTTAGGAGATCCAGCATTAAATCAGAGTTACTCTGGATCCAGATCTATTAACAGATAGAAATTTCACTGTCACAAAATTTAGGTGAGCAAACATGTAACTTTATTTCCTTACAACCCAACTTAGTTTAGCTCTTCAGTCCCTATGTCCATTTTGTGGTAGAACTCTTAATACAGCCAATTCAAGGTATCTCTGTGTCCGATGGGTGATCTAAGACCTGGGGGTTGGGGATGAGATAACTTTTCTCTCATCCAGGATTTGGTAAAGGGGGTGAATCTGGTTGATAGCCATCTCTGTCTTCTGGCATCTATAAGATATAAGTCAATCTGTCTGGTCCTTCTCATTGTGCACTGGCATCTAATTTTGTCCTGGCCATGGGCCTTCACTTGCTAGTTCCAGGCACCTGTGCCTTCTATCCCCATTCCAGGACCTTTCTTTGTGTTCCTGAACCCTTTTCACAGGCAGCCCTGGGAACTCTTCTCTGCTTTCCTACACCACCCAGAGGTGCCGAGTCTCAGTGAAGCTCACTCAGACCCATCCATCAGGACATCTCTCATATTGGCCAGTTTTCAGCTGTAGCATAATGTTGGATATAGGCTTCTCTAAGAGGCTTTCGGTATCTTTGGACTATATCCTGGGAAGGGAAGCAGAAGTTTATTACTGTGCTCCCAGGTCTTTCGCAAAACCACCTGGCATTTCTTCTAGAGGCTTCACCCCAGCTCCGTGGAGGCCCTTCTCCCAGGAATTCGTATCAATTACTTGTTTTCTTGCTCTCTTTACCCAATTATCTTCTTTCCTCAAATCTGTGAGATTTGCCTCTGTTTTAAGGAGGCAGCAGTGGCTCTGCTGAGAGGAAGGAAATGACTTTTACATTACCCTGTGATCTTTCCAACTTTCCAAGTGTTTATAATATAAACTTTTTGTTCAAACCTTTAGAAATTGAGCAGAACTTTTGGAACCAAAACAATCATTTGTCTCTAAACATTTGAGCTTTTAATATGATCATTTCTATTATGAATTTTGAGAGCCTATTTTGGTAGTCATGGGCAATAATTTGATTCTTCTTGCTGCATCAAAAGAGAAATGGGCACAAAGAAGCCCCAGGGGAAGGATGCCTGAGAGGAGCCCGTGTTAGTATCTCAAATGATTATCTGCAACACTGAGTGAGTCCTTGATCTGGCACCTAGACCCCTGTCTCCATCCCTGTGATCACTCCTTTGGTCTTGGGACCAATTTCAACTAGCTGTTGGTCCTCTTAGCTCCTTTCCTCTGCTCTTGTTTAGTCCCTGCTATTATTTTTGTTTTGTTTTGTTTTTTGCAAATTATATTGTGTGTGGTTTATTATTTGTTTTAAAATTGACAGGTAACATTGCATTGTGGAATAGTTAACTATAGCTAATTAACAAATGCATTACCTCAATAGTTATCATTTTTGTGGTAAGAGCACATAACATCTACTCTCTTTATATTTTTCAAAAAGGCAATATATTATTATTAAGATAGTTATCATACTGTACAATAGACCTCTTGACATTTCTTCCTCCTATCTAACTGTAATTATGTATCCTTTGAGTGACATCTTCCCCCATTTGGCTTTTCCCAACCACCCAAGCTGGTAACTACTATTCTACTCTCTACTTCTATGAGAGCAATTTTTTAAGATTCCATATATGGGTGAGATCATGCAGTATTTGTCTTTCTGTGCCTGGCTTATTTCAATTAATATAATGTCCTCCAACTTCATCCATGCTGTGTAAATGGCAGGATTTCTTTCTCTTTTATGGATGAATAGTACTCCATTGTGTATATATACACCACATTTTCTTTATCCCTTCATTCGTCATGGGTACTTAGATTGTTTCCATATCTTGGCTATTGTGAATAGTGCTGTGAAAAGTATGAGAATGCAGATATCTCTTGGACTTACCATTTTTTTTTTATTGGGTTATGTAAACAGATGACCTACTGATTACAATTGCTTTAGATATCTACTCAGTAGTGGAATTGCTGAATCATGTGATTGTTATATTTTTAATTTTTGGGGGGAAACTCCATATTGTTTTCCACAATGGCTGTGCTAATTTGCATTCTTATCAACATTGTATAAGGGTTCCCTTTTCTCCACGTCCTCACCAGCACTCGTTATTTTTGTGTGTGTGTCTTTTTGTTAATGGTCATTCTAACTGGCTGAGGTGATATCTCACTGTGGTTTTTATTTACATTTCCCTGGCGATTAGATTTATATTTCCCTGGTGATTAGTAACGCAGAGCATTTTTTAGCAGCACCCAGTGCTACGTTGGTGTCTGGGGCATGGGCTTTTGGTGCAACCCAGCTCTGCTGCCTCAACCTGTCTTAGGCCTCCCCCTAGTGGTGCAACAGCTATAGTTGTAACTGGTGTGGGAACTTTGCCTATCAAGGAGTCCTGAATCTCTGGACAGGGTTACTGCTGAAGCAAGTACTTGAACAACGTCCCTTACTGCCTTTTGAACTGGAGTTCTGCCTAACTTCCCTCACCACCAGTCCTCCAGGGATCACCGTCCTTGAATCTACCCTCTTTGGCTGTGTCATCATACTGATTGCAAAGCTGTCTACTTTCCACACTTTTGCCTACTGACTTTTCTGGGAGCCTCCTGATATAGTTGTCTATATGTCTCATGTTGCAGTTGCTGGATCTTTTCATATCACCATACCACATCACCCAGCCACTCTGGGAGGGCAGACAGAGTGTTCCAGTGTGGGAGGAAGGGGTATAGCACGCATGTAGTATGTGAAGACGGCCCCTAAGAAAATTCTTGCAAGAAAGTCTA